GTCTTTTGTCTTCTGTCTCTTTTCCTTCCCTTTAGTTTACTTGATTAAACCGATTAGAGAATCGATACATGTTTTTTGGAGATGTGAAATTACCAACACCATACTTCAAACCAAGAGAAGAGCGTCTATTTGTTTGGTAGTTTCACATCTCGACAAATGAATTAGGCAAAATTTGGTTCAGTTGGAACTCCTTCTGTCCCTTATTTTCAAATGTTTTACTTTTTCACGACTCGTTCAATCTAGAAAAGTATATTGTTTTATGGATGAAACAAAAAGTTAAAGGTACCACAGCTTGACTGTCATCAAACTTTCTATCTAAGACGTATTGAAGAATCAGCGCCCACTTCTCTGTCTACAGTCTATAATCTTCCTCCCAACAGCCTGTCACTGGGACATAGGATGAATAATTAGGGCAGAGGGAGTGGTGCATTGTGGGATACATTGAAGGACAGTTAAATCAAAACTTGACAACAAGAAAAGAACAATGAGTCAGATTTGGACGTGTGAGAAATGGAGAGGAGGCAGATTATGTATAAGTCTGTGAGATCTCTGGTTGGTCCTATGGCTCTCATTACATTTCAAAATGTAAAACAATATTTACTCTGTTGTATAATAACCAACTGCTTTTTTTCTCGTGAAATGGTTACATTATAAGCACATTGTATGTACAAAAGCAATGTGTTATGTCCTATGCTGCTCAAATGGTGGGATAAATGTCTGAATCTAAATCATAGTCTTACAGTTGTTTTAGTATGTACTTTTTTATTGTATAATTATTATATTTATAGGTACAAAGCTTGGCGCTGTATATTTGTCTGTGTGAAAACCTGTCCTTCATTGTCTCTTTCATTCTTGCGTTGGTTGATCTCATATCACATGTCACTGTCTGCTCCTCAAGGCCCGTATGATGTGGTCAACGTATGTGCAGTAACCATGGCAACAAGTGCGTGCAGCGGGCGGGACAATGACATCAACCCCATTTCTGCCACCACGTCATTACATCATTATTTATGTCGCTCCGGGCAGTGAAAACAGATACTGGGAAACTATGTGAGGTCATGCACCTCTTTCAGTCAACTTCATATTATATCTTTTCTCTGGAGAAATTGTTTGATTTGGATATAAATTGTAAGTTAAATTCTTTTAGAATAAACTTGTAACTTGGTGAATGGCGTGCTTGTTTCCATGTATATGTACTGTGGGAACAAGAACTTAAGATACACTGTGTAAAAAGAGAGGTTTGTTTTCTTTTTCCCTCTGATAAAAAAATATATGCATAAATAAAACATATATATTTCTTCCTAATGTAAAGTCCTTTCTTCCTCTGAAGTCTTCTAATTGAACTACCTTTTCAGTACTGAAGATATGCATAGAATCATGAGCATTCACATCCTGGTCTTGATGCATTGAAATGACAATGTTCAAAGTTTCAGTTACTAGAGTAAGTGTCTGTAATACTGTATTTGAAGAGTTTTTGCATCAGAACAGTGAAAGCCTCTCATAGAAATAACCAATCTCGCGTGTTGCTCTGTGTGTTGTGCACTTTCACTGTGTATGCATATAAACTGCCACCAGAGGGAGCCACATGCACGGTGACAAGGCAGCCAGAAACTGTTTTGAAAAGGGGATTGTTGAGAGTTGTTTAATTCTACGTAGCTTTCATAGAGTGGCTTTTTCATTGTGGTCAGATTGTGAGAATGTGGTTAGACACATTAAGTGATCACCATTTGATAGAGATGGGCCGTGTTTACACACATGCATATCTGGTAAGTTCATGAGCTTTGAATAATGACAGAAAGGAGATTGGTTGGACGCTCCCTTAGAGTTGGGTGAGGAGCTTGGTCACACAGGAGGAGCTTGGAGTAGAGCTGCTGCTTCTTCATGTCGAGAAGAGCCAGTTGAAGTGATGGCTATGGCATCTGTTTCCTTCTGGGAGCCTCCATGAGGAGATCTCCTAAGATGAGCTCAAGGAGAATCTATGGAGAGAGGTCTCTGCTTAGACTGCTGGTTTTGAGTTTAGGAAGATTAATCTTGTCTTCTTAGTAAATGTAAAAGTATTAGGTTCTTCTATACCGGAAAATATTGAAGTATCCGTCGAAACATATCAAGGTAATAACATTGCTAACCTACTATTGTCTGGTATAGAAGAACCTAATACTTTTAATGCTTAGACTGCTGCCCACGCAACCTGGTAAATGATAAAGTAGAATAAAATTAATGAATATAACATTAAAAATCACAAAGTAATTCCTACAGTGAAAAAGGTGATATTGCACACACATGAAAAGGTCCGATCGTGATGAATGGCATTTTAACTCTCCAATGATGTAACAAGGTGCATGTTTTAAAACAAAGACTTATGCTGCTCTTTGTTTAATAACCTCCTGTTTAAAATAGAAGCACCCTTGAACATTTCAAAATCCCACATTTCAATTCATTTTTGTGTTTATTTTAAACCAGGCAAAACTTTGAGGTCTTCCGAACACTTAAATATCCATTGTTTACGTACCATTTAGGGCAGTATTTTTGGGGACATTTCCTTTAACCCTCCAAAGAAGGACACGGCCATTGTTTTGGGTATAAACATCCATCCATCCATTCATCCATCCATCCATTTTCTTCCCCTTAATCCATTTCTGGGTCGGGGGGGTGGCAGTCAGAGCTACACCCAGTACACATAGCACCAGCCCCTCGTATTGTTTATTGGGTATAAACAATACATGCAAATATCAACAACAAAAAGTCAAAAATGGAAACAAAAAATATTTTCTAAGAATAATTTGTTTCTTTACTACTACGGAAGACTCCATGTAAGAATAATGTGGGAAGGCTGCTTGTTTGTGCTTGGGCTGGAGGAGTTTCAATATTGCGTACTGACACACACATTCCTGGCGTCCCAGAGGAGTGCCTCTGAAGTGGGCTCCTGGCAGAGAGCGAGGAAGCAGCTCTGGTCCTCCTCCCAAACGGGCTTCCTACTATTGTCTCCACATCCATCTCGTAAGGGCTAGCGGAGTTCTTCTGGATTGGCTGGTTCTAAAAGTTAATTGGGAAATGCAATAGATGGTCCTAGTCATCAGACACTCACACATAACTTTGATAATTCTGTAAAAATACTCATGATGGGTACTTGTTATAATATTTCTGCATATGTCCGGTCTTTTTGCACAACCTGATTGGTATTATTTATTCCAAATGGGACATGTACATTTCTCCATTGTGAGATCAATAAAGTTTATCTGGTGATTGTTGGAATGGTGGTCAGGTTTGGAGCTCTGCAAGTGAGGGTGATGAGGCAATGGGAGGGAAGGGGAGGTGGAGTAGAAGAAGTCTGAATGGTTTTACAATGCATGCATATCTTGTCTTCATTGTTTCTGAGTCTGTGGATCAGAAACTAAGATCAGTCAAGTACAATTAATGTGACCAGTGAACACATCAGCTCTTGAATAGGGTTGAATGATGTTTAATAAGAAATAATTGACCCCTTGCAATAGCGTTTAGATTTTGTTACACCCTAATAATGATTGTTTGATTGCCATGATAAGCCCATTGTGAGAAGAAGACCGGATCTGCCAATATAATACAAGTATCCAATTCTGAATCAAATAATTGTGAGTTTAAATAGTGATTCAGGCATTAGCAGAAATGTTGAATGTCTCTATATCACGAAAAGGACATGTTTAACAAGCATTTGGAGAACCAGTCTCCACCACTGATCATCCTAAAGTACATCTCCTCATCCATCCACAGCTTTCCTTAACAATAACATCAAAGTCCATATTTTCCATAAACAGATTAAGAGATCCTTTTTTTTCTCCCACAGTGAGAAAATTGTTGCATCACCAGGAACAATAATTCTATACAAAATAATATACAAATTAGAGCATTGGCCTTCAGGCCTGAAGGTCGTGGGTTCAATTCCCACCTCTACACCTTCTCCACCGACTCCCACTGTTGACTGCTGTCGTTGTGTCCTTGGGCAAGACACTTAACCCCACTTTGCCCAAAGCCCCCACTGAAAGCTCAAGGCTATGCTCACACTCAGAGAGCAGCCGTCCTCCTGTGGACTCACCACCTGCAGAGGGTCAGTGAGGGGCTGGTGCTATGAGACTTGGGTGGCATCTCTGACTGCCACCCCCCTGACCCAGAAATGGATTAAAGGGTAGAAAATGGATGGATGGTATCTAGCATGAAGAAGAAACAAGTGTGAAATCTCTATCTTTAGATTCTGACTAGCATAAAAAGAAGTATAAAATCTCTACCTCTGGCATAATAAGAAGCATGTATAAAGTACTGTGTAAGTAATATTACAGTTGTATGTCTACATCTGTACATGTTAGCAGCATGAGGGTATGGGGCGGTAGAGCAACAATGGACACATGTGGTTCTATATTGCACATTCTGACATTATTAAAGTTATTATTGCGCAGATGAGTAAGTAAGTAAGTAAGTAGTAAGTAATCTTTATTTATATACCGCCTTTTCACTGCAGATCTGAGTCTCAAAGCGGTTTACAATTGTTTTTATTTTTGGGCATTTGTCTCTCACTCCACACAGAGATGGGAGCGGGGTCGCCAGTACAGGAGGCGCATGCCAGAACTATTGTACATATTTTTAGTGGTAGGGGAAACCGGAGTACCTGGAGGAAACCTACACAGACACAGGGAGAACATACAAACTCCACTCAGAACGGCCCTGGTCCGACCAGGATTTGAACCCAGGACCTTCTTGCTGAGAGGCGAGAGTGCTATCCACTCAGCCACCGTGCCTCTAAAGTAAAGTCACTGTGACACATGTGGTTCAAAATTGCACATTTTGACATTAGTTCAAGAGCTTACACAAATTTATTAGTTAAGATATTGCACCGATGTATGACATGTGAGATCAGTTCGGTCGTGTTCATTAGTCCTCATTGCTTGTTGTACAGTCATTGTTGATTGTTTTAAAGACATATGAAATGAATGGAGGCGATTGTGTCATGATGTGCGTGGTTGTGTTTGCAGACTGGAATCAGAAATAGGCACTCTGGAAAGTGAGGAGTCGCAGATATCGGCCAAAGAGCAGGTGCTACGGGAGCGGCTAAAAAAGACGGAACGCTCCATTGAGGACTTGCAGAAGGTGAGGAGAGTGTGAGACTGAATGTGGATCCATAGGGAGCTTCTATGTTCACCTCCAATTCAAATCAATTACATGTATTCATATGTACCCTAAATCGCAAAAATGTCTTCTTCTTTTTCAGAGTCTCATGAATCAGGATGGAGGTATGACACTCACAGACTTTATAACAATACATTCATTGATTGAGTCAATGGACAAGACCCTGTTAATAATTGCAGTGACATAACCTCAGACCATAGGAAGGAGTGGAAGAGTGAGTGCTGGTGTCACCCATAGTATTTGGTAAAATGTTCTCAAACCAACCTCAGAGCAACCACGGAGTCAATCAAGAGCGAGTCTGGACCTTTCCTGATTCTGATATTTGCCAATTTGGGGATAAATGGCTTCTGATTGATTAGCAAGTTTTCTTTTTTTTTTAGCAAGTATGTAATCTTAATTTTCACAGTGTCTTTCTATTCCTGGATATTGTCATCAATAATTGGCCTCCACTTTCCAATGAAAGTGAATTGGAGCCAAAGCGAGTAGGAGCAACATTTAGCTTGTTCATTACCTGCTCAACCCAATCCTATCCACTTAATTTCCATACCACATTGTAAAAAAAGTATTTTCAAAGTGCTGCACATGTATTATAAAAAGAATTCACTGAAACATCTGCCAAATAAATGTCCATGTCATATTACCGTGTTGCTTTAGGATCTCGGTTAGCAAGGTGTAGATGATAGATTAACCAAAAACATAACCCAGAACCACAGTTTTACAGCATATGGCAAGATATTTAGCAAAGTCTAAGTAAGAACAGCACTAAAACAACACGCTTTCCAAGGGCACTGGAAATTTGCACATCCCTCTATGTTGCCTTCATGTTCGAGAATTCTATTTCAGTTTGAGCGCGGGTGCCAATACATCTCTGTGTTTTTTAAATGAAAATGTCCAAATCTTTTCCCAGATTATTTGATAGTGATTTGATTAACAAACTCACCATATTATTCTTATGTGTGAAAGTTCTTTTTACCAGCCAACATCACTCATATGTTGGTTTTGAATAAACTGACTGACTTTTGACAACTGCTAGTTACCAGGAACATTCAGCTGCTCTCCACTGTTGTCTCTTTGGAAGGTTGTGATGTCACATTAACGCAACCTATAACAAACCACAGTCCATAGATGTGACTGAACCACTGTTTTTAGAGAATACTCAATGCCACAGAAGCGTGTAGACATGAATATGGGTGGTTAGGCACACCCTCAAAACCACAGCCACCTCCCCGTGTCGCTGCCCCACGATGCAGTGTGCACCCCCATCTCCCTCGCACACACACACACAGGCTAACTGCAGCTCAGCGAGGCTATTGAAAACGCACAAGGTCATGACGCTGCAGCCGCTGTGCAAGTCTTTATCCAGCTCCATTCACACTGAAGGCCCATAATCCCCCGCTGCTTTGTCCCTGCGCTCACAAACTCACAATCAATACGGCCACATACACACAGCACACGGCCACTTCTGCTGCATAAGCACTGGCCTGGTTACTATGGGGCGCCGCCACTACTCTTTAAAGATTGTTGGACTTTAACTATAGTTAGTTTAGTTTGTCATTTTCATATATGCGTGAATATTTGAAATAAAATAAAAACTAACATTCATTTTCATTTAATTATATTGTTTATTGTTTATTTACGGCAATTAAAGCTAGGGTACCGCACTTTTTTGTTTAATAAATAATACTTTTTTTAAAGTCCCAACACAAAGAGTTTATCTTATTAGAAAACGTGTTATTTTGCGCACTTGTGAGACAGAGCCTTGTGAGTCACTATTTGGATGTGATGTTCCTCCCAAAAAGGATCAAATACAATTTCAAAATAATGACAGTATGATTGTTATTATTGGGCGTTTTTTCAGTAACATTCAACTATTTCAGTTTTTTATTAGTTAACTGCTATATTTATAAATGGGCGTTTATTTAAAAACAATGACACAGAAAATGTGTATAATTTGTATGATAAAATTGGCTCGTTAGCGGTAAAATTCCATCAGGGTGTTCTCCAGTGGCTTCACTTTGGCTCTATCTGGGAAAGGTTTTCTGGTATAAAGTTTTTTCTTCTCTAAGGGGAATCCCATGAAGTATAAGAAACGTAAAAAGTAAAGTAAAGAAGGAATAAGTTGACAGGAAAAAAAAAATAGAAACCACTATAATAAAGCTGAATATCTGAAAATGAAAATATCTATGTTTTGTTGATGTTGCTGCTGGTAACAGTTGGTTTTCTGTGGTGACTAAACTTGGTGGGTGGAGCCTGTAGGTGTGTTTGTGTAGCAGGACGTGCCTGTTGTTCTTCTGTGTGTGATTGTGTGTGGAAAGTTGTGTGTCTTTGTGAATGTGTGTGTCCCTCTAACTTGACTCTGAACATGTGCCGCTTCCTCTGGCTCACTAGATGCTAAAGGCTGCATGTCGGACCGTGGCCATTCCAGCACAGAGCAGCTCGTGTGGACCGGCCCGCCAGCTTCTGGAGACCACGTCACGTCCAGACCTGGTAAGGACCTGGGAGGAGGGGTAAGGATGGGTAAGGAGGGGGCACCCACAGACACTAGGAAAGTTTTGGACCTGAGCCAACATGGATATATGACTGGACATGTGCTTGTAGGGAGCTCATGGGAGTAAGAAGCCTTGTTCTCTTTAACCGAAGCTAGAGACAGGTCTTAAATTATGTTTTAGCTCTGAAATTTCTCCACGACTGAGGGACAACTAAAGGTTATCTTTATCACATTAATTGTGATATCGTGGAGCACAAGACTGCCTGTTCTTCCAAGTGACTTTTACTTTTCTAAGAAATAACTCAAATATTTACATATAGATTCCCATATCTTGGGTCTGTGTTCAGTTCAACATAGTTCCATGAACTGTTCTTTTCCCCTTTCAAAAGTATGGCGTTCATAACAACAGAGGAAGGCTTTTCTGACAGACGTGTAGTCAGCAAAAGCAGCCTGTGCCAGCGTGTATCTGTGCCAAAGTGATGAATTGATTCAAGAGTGACTATTGTCAAAAGCCATTAGGCCTAAAGATACATTTACAATGTTAGGATTCTAATGTCTATAATATATTTCAGGAACATTATTATATAACAATGTGCTCATTATAACTTTAACTTTAATCTCATTCATATAACTAAGATCAATGTGTTTCATCCTCACAATTCACTCCCTCCACTTTTCTCTCTTCAAATTCTCACATCCTCCCCCTGCACCGTTTCTAACCCCCCACCTTTGTGACACCCATTACCCTCCTCCCTCTTCTCCCTGTCCCTTCCTAACAGCAATGTTTGCCATGGAGATCAACGTACAGCGTGACCCGCACACCGGGGAGCAGCGCGTCCTGTCAGCCAGCCGCGTGAGCCCCTCAGAGGCAGCCACCCGAGGGGTGAAGGTCTTCGATGATGGGAAGAAGGTGGTGTACGAGGTGACCGCTACTGGGGCCGTGTCCACCACCACCATGGAGAATGGCTGGAGCTCCAGCCAGGTGGACCACCTGATCCAGCAGGCGGCTCGGCCTGTGGTCCGAGGGGACAGTATGAGGGGACGTGTGAACGTGACCACAGCCAAACCTGAAGACGACCTGTCGCCCCCATCCTGCCCACCACCCTCCATCCCCTCCAGCCCCCCAGCCCAGGTGTCCCTTCAGAGAGAGCCTCAGCTGGGCATGCTTCCCCCCTCAGCCCCCATCACCACTCAGCCAGGTGCACACGCCAGTCTAGACCCATCCTCAGAGAACCCCGTCACCATGGTGTTCATGGGCTATCAGGACGTCGAGGACAGCGACAGACTGCTGGGCTACGATGGAGCGGTCAAGGCTGAGGTTGTTCTGATCGATGAAGACGATGAGAAGTCTCTGCGGGAGAAGACGGTTACAGATATATCTGCCATAGACGGCACCGCAGCAGATCTGGTGTCGGGGCGTCCCGCCACCTCTGAGGCTGCCAGTACAGAACTGTCCTCAGAGGGACGCGATAGTGCATCATCACCCATCGTCAACCAGGAAGCCACAGCCCCGCCCCCTGGCCTGACCCCGCCCACAGGTACAGACAAGAGGAAACGCTGCCAGTGCTGCATCCTCATGTGACTATTTTCCCCTTCTCTTTTGACCCGCCCCTCTCTGTCTGGATGATACTAACTGAGCCCTGCCTCCCTCTGCTCAGACTGAGCGGCTATTACACTTTCTGTTTGTTTGGCCTTTGACTCTCCATCTTTCTCATCAGGCATATGTCAGCTCACATCTTCACAGTCGAACGCAGAGGATCATTTTGTGGTTCTGCTGCACAAACAGTTATAACCAGGTGCATTCACTCAGTGGTCCAGGACTATAGACAGTCAGCCCATCTGATTGTTTACATTTGTTTTGCTCTAAGGACAATCAAACTAATCAATAACTCAACTTCACACATTATAGATAATATATATGGATTATTTTAAAGATGGGGTTTGGGGTGGATGCGGTCTTCCTTGTGCGGGAGATTCTATTGTCTTATCTTTAGTACTTACAAATCTGTATGAAGGAGAAACTTTACGTGTGTTTTATCACTTCTTCCTGATTCAGACTGTGGTGGAAGGGAGACTTGTTGCCTTGGTTTCTTTATGTGCCTCTTTATTATTTTATATTAGTATAGTTAGTACTTAGTAAATCTTCAGATTGAGATTTGTTTTAGAGTTTATCTTAGCTGTAGTTATTTTATTTTTTTGAAGACCACTGGATTGTTTTGATGCCATGGGAACCTGAGCTTTGACGCTAGTGGATAGTAACTAGACTCCACTTCCAAATGCCCCTCTTCAGTTTCTATCTCTCTCTTTCGCTCTTATACTTTTGGTTTACAATTCCAGTAATTCCACTGCATTTCCTCCTATTCTAGTAGTTCCACTCTGCTGAAGGAACATAGACAGGAGCCACAACTGTTCTTGTGCTGAGCATTGTGAACACAAGAAGCCACGGCAGCTTAATGAGAACACACTACCAGCCATAAAACCAAGCGCACAGCTGGAGCATCCGGGTCAATGGCCCAACTCCTTGTGTTTGAGTGAGCTGCTAATGGTACTCAACGTTCTCTTCAAATTCATGTTCACGCATAAATACGGTCCAAAATTAGAAACACTGCCAGTGCTGCGAGGATTAGCCAATTTTGTCAAGGTGCTACACACAATACAACATGTCATTAAAATCTAAACTGCAGTGGACCACAATGTCACCCTTTAAAAGACTTTCAACACTTTTGAAATAAAAAAAAAGCTTCACTAAGCTGTTATGCTTATTGTTCATGATGAAGTGTGATGCCATTTAAGACAGAGTGTCCACTTCAATCACATCTTATCTTCAATATACATTTAAGTCTGATGTGCTCTGTGTACGACCTGTACTTCAATAACTGACTAGTATAAATGTATCAGCAGAAAAGTGCACATAATCACTTTTTTTTTCAAGCTTTAAATCCCAGGGCTTTTTATGGTCAAAGCTGCTGTCAGATCTGGTGGCTGAGGTTTGACCATGTGTGTAAAAAAGATATGTATATAATCCTAGAAATGATATAATTATTTTTCACCACTAGAATCACAGACATCATTGAGATGATTGTGGGCACGACATTGTACTGGTGCCACATGATGACTGAATGACTTTATTTGGATTGACTAACTTCTTTGCTGTGTGTAGTATCACATTAACAAAGTCCAACAGTTTAACCTTCTGCTGACCTGCACTGACTGACCCGACAGCCGCTCCTCCTCAAGACATCTCCAGAAGAATGAACTGCATGGTACACCACTTTAACACGGCTTGCTCTTTTCTCCACAAATGCCACCACTTTCTCCTGTCAAACACTATCCATTTTGCATTCTGTCTGGTCCTTGTACATCAATATGCTTAACCCCCCCAAAAAAACATGATCATAATTTGTGATACAACAACATTTGGCAGGGCACAACTAAATTTGAGTGTATTGTCTCTGTGTCCCATGTAGCCATATAAAATGTGTTGCATGTCTTTCAAATATTTAGATATATGAGACATTTTACATGACCCCAATGTTTATGCAAAGGCAAGAAGCACTTATTGTTTCCGCAGATTATCTCCAAACACTATTTTTTAGTCTGTTAATTATAAATATGGAGGCTGATCAACTTGGTTTGGGCTTTTTCTTGTATAATGTGAAACATGTTTGAAAAGCCTCACTGCCAGTCCTGCAGTACCTCTAGGTGTCTGTAGGGGTCTCTGTTTCTCTTGTCTGCCTGCTCTTGTGGTTGTATGGACTGTTTTAATAATAGTAATAATAATAATAATAAGGAGCCATTTTCTACTGTGTTTCTCTCTATATATATTCCTTTCTATGGACATGAACTCACACTGCACTGCGACCTCTGTTACTCATTCTGTCTTTGAAATAAAGCAGACTTCTCCAGTGCCTTGCTGTCTCTGCCTGTTGTTCTTTCCATCTCTCTATCGTTCACTTTGTGTTGGCTGCGCACCAAACACATCACAAGCAATCTCTATATATAATACTACTCACTAACAATCATCTATGGGCTGCACAGGAATGAGTTAACTCAAGTTCTTCATACTTAAGGGGGGATTAAGGATAGTCTGCAGGTAAGCCTGAGCACAGTCAGCTGCACATATCATTTACAGATATGTTATTTAAACAAATTAGATCTAAAAATGTGGAGATGTTCTTACACAATTAATAAAACAACTATATTTATCTAAAAGGGTACAGTCATATCAGACTGTTGTATAAAACATGCAAGCTAACATCTGTGCATCAGGAGAATCGCAAATGCAAAAATGATTGTACTCAACTATTCAACAGTTTAATAGTGACATTAATATTCATTTGCATAAGATCATCTATATAATTCTATGGTTGTTATTGGTAGCACCATGCCTCCGCACTGTGCAAGTTCCAGATATAAGGAACCAGAAAGGGACTATAGAAGATGTTCCAGAAAAGGACCAAGTGGAGATTGTGACTGGAACTTTCCAAGCTATGGAGAGCAAAGTGCTTCACAAAACAAAAGAAAAATGACAATCATGAATAATGACAAAAATAAAATAAATCAAAATAATGATATAAAAAGTGAAGTTACAATATATAATATATAAAAAACATGAGAATATGTAGGAAAATCTTTGAGGTGAGCCAGGCAGCTAAAAAAAACAAGTGCCCTGTTTCATTGGGGTTACAGAAACTCTGCTTTGCTCCTTAATGTTTACAGTCACACAGAGGATTTGTAATGAGCGAGTGCTCGTCAAGACAGCAGTGGGGAATAAAAGCACATAATGACTAACTTTGAAAGTGTATAAAGTACACACAGTTTTCAATATAGATCATTTTATTCTGCATCTGAGTACATGCAATACTGTGTGAGTCATATTTGAAGAATAAGAGTGGTATTAGAGAAATACATGTTAGAAGCTTCATTCTTTGTTCCCTTTCATCATAATTTCTGCCCAACACTAATGAGTCTGCTCGCTGATTCAGAGACCCTCCTGTGAGACCCTGCACTGGATGAGTACATTAATGGCACAATAATTCCATTATCTTTTATCATAGGCTACATCCCATCAACGGGGGTTACCGTGACAACAGCAAATGGATGTGAGGCTCCCATTCTGACCAGACACCTGCACACTGCCATGGTGAGTCCATCAGGTTTTGGACAATATGTTTGTGAAAGTGAAGCTGCCACAATGGGACAATGTGGAGAGATGAACTGTGACCATGGTGTGTCCATGGTGTGAAACTGTGCATTAACACTTCCTGCTTTACACTCTTTTCAATACAAAGTCTGCTAGATGTGACAGCTCTATTGGAAAAAAGCCTTGTTACACAAACATCCAGGTTGAAAAGACATAGAATAGATGGAATATATCAATACTAGCCTAGTTTCACAATAATCTATAACTATTTGCTTTATATGATCCCTATTGTGTGGCTCTTATTGGATTAAGTGCATGTTTACACAAGTTTTTTTAGCCAATGTGCGATTAGCATAGCATCAATGTACAATGCTATCATGTTATGGTGTTATTATTATTTTTTTAATCCACCTTTTTTTGCACAAGGACATTTTCCCCTCGTCTCTGAGAATGTATATTTACAATCTGGGTTGTGGGTAATTGGTATCTATTGCTATTTCAAAATCAATAATCAAATGATTATTTTTAGGATTTTTTTATTTATTTTTTGCTGTATGCTGTATAGTTATATTCTCCGGTGTTTGCAGGTATTTAAACTGTGAACAAAGGTATTTAATAAACATGGGAACCTTAAAACAATTTTGGAGGGGAGGTTTCAGAGTCCCATTGTTTTTGAATGGGAGCAGTCAAAATAACGGCTCAGGGAGTTCTATTTTTTAGGCTGAGTTTACACGGAGACAATGTGGCAGTAAAACGGTATAGTTGGATGTCGGTTGCTACCAACCGTTCATACGAAGACTGTGTTCCAGGTGAAAACGTAAGTGTTCAGATCCAGCCTGCAGAGTGGGACAACTCAGAAACGCTGCACAACAGGGAGCTTTTTCACACCCGCGAGAGGGGAATAGGTGCGAAATCCCCCTCTGCTCTGACCCCCACCTCCGCGCTGCTCCCTGCACGTAAATTTGGACATGCGCAGTAGCGGAGAACAAACATAAACAATAATGGCGCTGCCCACACAAACTAGCTACGTGGGCTTCGAGCACAGCACAGAGGATAATTCTACTCCTTCGTTCGTCCAAACGAGACCTCGCGAAGCTCTAGGTTCAGTTTCCATTTTCACAGCTGCTGTTAAAATGCAGAATGATGTTGGTGCGTTCTGAGGGTCTGGCACAGGAAGTGAGTATACTGCCGGGAGGGGGGCTGGGCACGGGGCTGGGGTTCGTGTGAGTGTTGTAAAGTTTCTCTGCCCACTACTGGCCGGGCGCTAGAACTACATCGTTTTTCAACCTCATGCGAACGCTGAGAAATTTGCATTAGGAGCCAGGTCGTTTCTGTTAATAGCCTGGGAACGTCTGCGCAGCGTCTCAGTATAAACAGGGCCTTAGTTTCAGAATTCTGGGAGTCCGAGTGTTAAGAAACCGCAGCAGGAGGGCAGGGGGGGCAGGGGGGGCAGAGGGGACGGGGGCCACAGATTGTCCAACGCTAAATAAATGAATGAAAGGAAGTCAGCGGGGGTAACCTGATCCTCCGCCCGGCTCATTGTGATTGTCTGTGGAACAGGACAGAAAGCACTCCGCGGACCCTGCATTATTCAGAGCGCGTGCCTCCCGAAAAAGAGGGAGAGAGAGAGGGAGAGAGAGAGAGAGAGAGAGAGAGAGAGAGAGAGAGAGAGAGAGAGAAACATGGAGGAGAGAGAGAGAAACATGGAGGAGAGAGAAACCAAAAGGAGAGAGAGAAACAAAACAGAGAGGAGAGAGAGAGAGGGAGAAACCAAAAGGGGAGAGAGAAACAGAGAGGAGAGAGAAAGAAAGAGAGAGAGAGAGAGAGGAGAGAGAGATGGAGAAACCAAAAGGAGAGAGAGAAACAGAGAGAGAGAGAGAGATAGAGAAAGAGAGAGAGAGAGAGAGGAGAAAGAGAGATGGAGAAACCAAAAGGAGAGAGAGAAACCGAGAGGAGAGAGATAGAGAAGAAAGAGAAGAGAGAGAGAGAGAGAGAGAGAGAAAAGAGAGAGAAAGAGAGAGAAGAGAGAGAGAGAGAGAGAGAAACAGAGAGAGAGAGGAGAGAGAGAGAAGAGAGAGAGAGAGAGAAAGAGAGAGAGAAAAGAGAGAGAGAGAGAGAGAGAGAGAGAGAGAGAGAGAGAGAGAGAGAGAGAGAGAGAGGAGAGAGAGGAGAGAGAGAGAAGGAGAGAGAGAGAGAGAGAGAGAGAGAGACATAGAGGAGAGAGAAACCAAAAGGAGAGAGAGAAACAGAGAGGAGAGAGAGAGAGGGAGAAACCAAAAGGAGAGAGAGAAACAGAGAGGAGAGAGATAGAGAAAGAGAGAGAGATAGAGAGATAGAGAAAGAGAGAGAGAGAGAGATGGAGAAACCAAAAGGAGAGAGAGAAACAGAGAGGAGAGAGATAGAGAAAGAGAGAGAGAGAGAGAGAGAGAGAGAGAGAGAGGAGAGAGAGATGGAGAAACCAAAAGGAGAGAGAGAAACAGAGAGGAGAGAGATAGAGAAAGAGAGAGAGAGAGAGGAGAAAGAGAGATGGAGAAACCAAAAGGAGAGAGAGAAACAGAGAGGAGAGAGATAGAGAAAGAGAGAGAGAGAGAGAGAGAGAGAGAGAGAGAGAGAGAGATGGAGAAACCAAAAGGAGAGAGAGAAACAGAGAGGAGAGAGATAGAGAGAGAGAGAGAGAGAGAGAGAGGAGAGAGAGATGGAGAAACCAAAAGGAGAGAGAGAAACAGAGAGGAGAGAGATAGAGAAACACAGAGAGAGAGAGAGAGAGAGAGAGAGAGAGAGAGAGAGAGAGGGGAGAGAGAGAGGAGAGAGAGATGGAGAAACCAAAAGGAGAGAGAGAAACAGAGAGGAGAGAGATAGAGAAACACAGAGAGAGAGAGAGAGAGAGAGAGAGAGAGCGTGAGGACATAGCTGGGGGGGAAGGAGGAGGGAGGCGCCGGTTGGAAAAGCTGGCGCGTAAAACAGCTCTCCCTGCAATGTCACCCAGTCGTCCTGTCTGCCTGCCCGTTATTCCCCCGCTAGGATCTGTCTGTTCTAAACGCAGCCGGATCTGACAAGGCTCTCCAGGCGCTTCCAAGAGACAGTAAAGGGCGAATTAAGAAAGACCCAACGAGACTTCATTCAGTTCACGCGTCAAACTTAATCCCGTTATATCCCGGTGATAAGGAGCTCAGCAAGGGCAGCGGCGGTGGATCATTGCGCAGGTAAAGACAAAGCAAAAGTCACGTTAAATATGCTTGTATCCGTGCATGTGTCCGTGCAGGTGCAGTTTTTTTTAGCGGGAGAAGCAGGGTTGTGCTGTGGTCAGTGTATGTATAGTGAAAGTGCTGCGTATTGCTCTGGGATGTGTCGGTGCGCACGGAATGAGTGCGTGATACAGCGGTTGTAAATACCCGTATTGGCTGGACGCTGGAAACGTGCGTTCTTGTGCGTGTTTCTGCAGCCAAACAAGCTCAGTGAACCGTTCTACTGCAGTGTCTCCTATTTTTTTTTTTCTATTGGTAAAGACGAGGGAACCTATAGCCATGTGAGGGGTAATGTGTGTGGCTCTCGGACCTAAAACAAAAAATGGTTTAAACATGAAGGTCAGATTCCGCACACGCCGCTAACTTTTCATGAAGTTTTATGATTTTAGACTTGCTTCTTTATTATGCTAAAGCTAGAGATTTCATTTTTGTATAGTTATTGTTCACTTATCTGCTCACTCCTACTCTTCTGTGGCTGGTGATGCAACACTGAGATATCCCCGTAAGGACTATTAAAGGAACCTGAAATAACCTGAATTAACTCTCTAAAAGAACAGTGTGGTGAATGAAGCAGACCACAACATGCTGTCTTAATCTTATTAGAAATCATGTGGTGTTCTGCATATTTAAAGAGCCCTATAAGTCACTAGTTGATAGTTTGGGCTTAGAGCTGAGTGAATGAAAGATGGTGGCAAAAATACATGCATGTGGAAAAAAAAAGGTTAGATACGATAAGATAGACTTTATTGATCTCACACTGGTGAAATTTACATAATTAATAAACGATAAAGCCAAACATGGATTTCATGACATAGTTCTATATACGTTTGGTGGTTTGAAAGTTATATACTCCATATTTAAGAATATTTATTAGTTTTACACACATATAATATCCTATTAATAGTTATAGCACAAGTCTCGTCCTTGACAGTGTGCACACAAGCGTAGATGAAAGCAACACACAGATTGATACATTCTTGAAACATTATGTCCAATGACTGCTGAGCTCTCTGATGTTTGTTGCCATTGAAAGTCACCAAGAAACTTTCATTTGCAACACGTGGCACTAATCCTCTGAAGATATTTTTATATAGTAATTTCATTATAGTGTGTACTGTTAAGTTGGGCCATTTCTCCCAACAGAAAGAGTGAGAAAATTAGACCGCGATATCTTTTGCATACTTGTGAGAAAGAGTCATGTTTGTCATTCTTTGATGCTTTGGGCATTTGAGCTGGGGGTGAGGCTGGTCCTGTTTTCTTTTTTAAATGATTTGTTTGAAAAAGCTGATGGATGTGACAACAACCATGAGATAAATAACCATGGACAAGCAAACTATTGATCCAACCAAACTGTTTTTGGAATGAGGAACAGTAGATGGATTGTATTTACATAGTAACATTTTTGTGTGGACTAAAAGTTGGTTACGCCATCATTAAATAACGCAACAAAATACTTCCATGGTCCATAATGCATTTTTGGGTTTTGGTTAGAGCTTCATCTCAACATTTTCTCTGAGCCCAGCTGCAATCCTAGTTGTAAACAACGCTGTTAAAGTTCAAGCATGGCTGTTGTTTTTTGCAATTGTGTTGTTGCAATTACTATTGTGCCAAAAATTGTTTGGTGGTAACAATAAATAAGTGCCCATATAAATTGGTGGCAAAAAATAATTTGAAAGACTTAGAATTCACCCTCTTTGCCAAGTTGTTTTTTGGAAAAGCCACTCTATTTTAGTGCCATATAAATACAGCTCCACT